CCTGATAAATCTTTCTGAGGGTACACGTCAAACAAATCCTTCCAGGGGCACCTGGGTGGCTCCGTTGGTTAAGTGTCTGCCTTTGGCTCAGGCCATGATCCCAGGGTTCTGGGATAGAGCCCTGCATTGGGCTCCCTGCTCGGTGGGGAGTCTGTGTCTCTTTCCTTCTGCCTCTTCCCCCGCTTCTGCTCTTTCTCTGTTCCTCTCAAATAAATAAATAAAATCTTAAAAAAAAAATCCTTTCAAAGAAGCATGAAATGATGACACACACCCAAGCAAGGCAGGTCCCTGAGAAGACATACAGAAAAACCCCTCTCTTAGGTCACATACTTGCAATGACAGGGCAGTGTCTCATCTCTAGTACTTTGATCTCACAGATAATACCTCTGAAAGATGCCTTTGTATCCTTATGATTGGACAAAGATGAAGTTGCAATGTAGTAAATGTTAACTCACGCCAATCTGCCTACCTGTTACAATTTTTAAAAATTTCCCAATACATAGCTCCAAGCAAATGTCTACCTAGGCCAGCATTTTTCACTGTGGGTCACCCATGTCACCATCACATGTGGGACTTGTTCTAGGTTTCGGTGACCAAGCTTCTTCATCTCAGGCCTACTGACTCAGAATTTCTGGAGCCGGATACCAAGAATCTGCATTTTAAAAAGCACCCCGGGGGCACCTGGGTGGGTCAGTCAGTTAAATTTCTGCCTTTGGCTCAGGTTATGATCCCAGGGTCCTGGAATCGAGCCCCATATCAGGCTCCCTGCTCAGAGGGGAGTCTGTTCTCCCCCTCCTTCCTGCTTGTGCTCTCTCTCGCTATCTCTGTCTCTCTCAAATAAATGAATAAAATATTTTTTTTAAAAAGCATGCCAGGTTATTCCCAAGCACATTTATATCTGAGAATCACCAAGCGAGGCTTTAATCTGAGATTAACTGCAGCTTAATATGGAAAACTATGGAATAAGAATCAGATACTGAGAACTGATTTGTACTATTATCCATGGCAGTGGTTTCTAAATATTTTGGCTGCCACCCATACAAAGGAAAATATTCTACATCATGACATAGTAGATACACACACGCACACACTAAAGTTTTACAAAACAATATTTACCCTTACTACTTGTGATGTTCTCTGATATCTTCTATCCTATCCTATTTCAATGTTTTAAAAACACTGGACAGAACCCACTGAAGTTATTACACAACCCTCTAATGAATCACAAATTGCCGTTTCCAAAGCACTAATCTATAGCCATCAACTGAGTAAGCATAAATCTAGAGACAGAGAGAGGAAAACACTGCTCATGAGCCAAACTAGATTTTAAAAAGCTATTCTTAACATATATGCATTTAGCTGCATTTAGAACAGTTTAATCACAATGCTGGTATCCTAATGAAATAAATATCATTCAGGCTGATTTCAAATCTTATTACTTTCAACTGACAATTATGAGTTTCAGGAGGGAGCAAGGGAGTATTCTAAGAGAAAATGTGGTGCCATGGGAAGACCTGGACTATCCCAAGTTAACAGCTGAGGCTCAGATCCTGGCTCTCCCATGTGGTAGGGACGACAGCCTGAGTAACAACCTCTCCGAGACTCAGTTTCTTCATCTATGAATGGGGCTAATAACAGCATCTATCTCATAAGTTGCTGTGAATATTCAATATGATGATTCATGGTTATTATCATTATTCAAGGATGCATCTGAACAAAAGATTTGCTACCTTAAAAGATAATAAAAATGACATTTGAATAGGGTTTATTATATAAATGTTCATATGGATTACTAGGAGTATAAATATACTGTGTATGTGGGATTTTCCTCTCTCTTTTTTTAAAAAGATTTTATTTATTTGAGAGAGAGAGAGAGATACAGCATGAATAGGAGGGGCAGAGGGAGAGGGAGAGAGAATGTCAACCAGACTCCATGCTGAGCACGGAGCCCAAAGTTGGGTTCGATCCCAGGACCCTGAGATCATGACTTGAGCCAAAACCAAGAGTTGGGGGGCACCTGGGTGGCTCAGTGGATTAGGCCGCTGCCTTCGGCTCAGGTCATGATCTCAGGGTCCTGGGATCGAGTCCCGCATCGGGCTCTCTGCTCAGAAGGGTGCCTGCTTCCCTCTCTCTCTCTTCTGCCTGCCTCTCCATCTACTTGTGATCTCTCTCTGTCAAATAAATAAATAAAATCTTTAAAAAAAAAAAAAAAACAAGAGTTGGATGCTTAACCGACTGCAACACTCAGGCACCCCATCCTTCTCTTGATGAGCAAACACGGGACGTTTTCTGAATGAGGCACCAAGCTGGAGTTACAAAGAGCCACGTGATATGGTACTACTTACTAAGCAGCCTATAACCTAGTTAGGAATAGCTGAATCATACGCCAAGTGCCAAGCAGACGAGATGCGAGCAGTGAGTACTCTGAGATCAGAGAGAGGACTGGAGGTCGGAAAGAGCTCCCGAGGTGGGCACTCAAGAGAGGTAGGGTACAGAAGGGTGGTGGTCTGAGAACGTAGAAAGGAGGACAGAGAGAACACCAAGTAGAAGACGATAATGGGAGCGAGGACGAAGGGGCAGGCCACACCCTCCCAGTGTGGTTGGCGACAGGAAGTCATCGAGGCGAAGTTACAAGTCAGAGCAGGTCTGGGTAGGAGACTCTGGCAGTAGGAGACAAGGAAGACTGATTTGGAACGTGGAGTGGCAGGCAGTGCTGCAGTGTTTGGTCAGCTCAGGCCTGGCTGCAGAGGGCGGGGCATTCCTGCGGGAGGTGGTCTGGTCAGAGCAACATCAGGGAAGGGGGAGGACACCCCCAAGGCATGAGAGACCTTAACACTGCAGATTTCCCCAGTTAACAGAAGGAGAGCATTGACATAGGAAAATGGGGTTCCAATCCATATTGCCAGAGTTTCCACAGTGCTGCAAGTGCTTTTTAAAGCACTGATAGGCTCAGTCCCTGGCACGAAGTTCTCAGTTATGGGTAGGCTGATCTCTGGAAATTCTCCAAAATTTTAAGTAAACCATCCCTGCCACTGAAATAATTCTACTTCTCTTGTTCGAATTCTATTCATTCTTTGCTCAACAAGCAACCTTCTGCTTGAGAATTCATCTTGCCAGGTCATTTGATACAGAGAAGAAAGTCTTGATAGTAAAAGCCCTTAAGCCTTCCAGTCACTAAAATGAATATTTCCCATAACAACATTGAAACTGGCCTTCCACCTACCCATCAGACTCATGTCAAGTTGGTTATATGTATCTATCAGCAAATATCCTTTAAAGTCCTCAGAGGGTGCCAGACCCAATAGGACTGAATTTCTCAGTCCTGACTGCACTTCAGAGTCGCCTGGATAGCTATTGAGAAACACCTCAGAAGGAGGCAGCTGGCTGCGCTGGAGGCCTCTCACGGGCTACTCCCGGGGTGGACCGCCGCTTTCTCAGACAGTGACTCTCAGTCCTGGCTGCAGGTCAGAATCAGCTGGGAAGCTTAAAAAAAAAGATCCATGCACAACAATGGAAACTTCCAGAGATGCTGAAACCTATCCACTGGGCAGAGGACACGAGCTCTAATAATCCCTGCACCTCATGCCTAAGCGGAGACGACAAGGATATCACAGAGCGCTGGAGCCGAGAGGGTTCTAGTTCACTGACAATTAGGCTGTTCAGTTAGGCTCTTCTCTCTGATCTCCCTTCGATAGGGGCCTAGCTTTTAAGCTGTTACTAGTTTCAAACTCCGAATTCTGTATTGCTTTGGAAGAGGTCAGCAAACTTTTTCTGCAAAGGACCAGACGGTAGAGAGCTCAGGCTTTGCAAGTCATACAGTTTTGGTCACAGCTACTCAACTCTGTTACAGCACAAAAGCAGACATAAATAATATGTAAACAAATGAGGAAGCCTGCCTTCCAATCCAACTTTTTTTCTTTTTTTCATGAAAATAAGACTGCTTTAGAACATATGAGTAACTAGAACAAGCATTTGAGTAATTAGAACAAGCATTCTGATTTGTGCCCATTAATACCAAATTAGTAACAAGGTGTGAACATAAACACAAAAGGTACACTCACTCCTCTAATCTTATCCTTCGACTCTCAACCTATTACCATTTACACGAAACGCAAACAGGGAGCCCCTGTTTATACTGAGACCATATGGACCTCGTGAGGCTATTTCTGCCACTGAGGACTACCAAACCCCCATCCCGCCAAGCTTCACTTATGGAGAGACCACCAACCCAATTACTCAAGTGGAGGCCCACCAACCTCCCTGGAAAACCAGAACTCGGTGGTGGGGGCACCATTCTGGCTTCCTCACTAGTAGAAAATGCCACAGATATTTATTACATCAATACTCGTTTATCTGGGGAGGGGAGAAAACCCGTCTGTGCTGCTTTCATGTATTCTCCCATTACAGCTGACCTGTACACATATGTATATGTCTATACGTACAACCCGAAGTCTAAGGTTTTCGTTTAAATCACTTCTGTTCAACTGAGTAAGTTTCATCCAGGATCCCATCCTAGCCATCACTTCTGGCTTCCCCTAATCTTTCAAAATGCATACTGAATGGAAGTCAAAAGGATTAGACCATTTGCTAAGGGAAGGAAACCCCAGGATGAACATCGATAAGCTGGAGCTCAGTGCACAGATGCGTGGTCCCTAATTCCCACTCTGGGATGCCAAGTCCCCACATCGGCAGCACTGAGACGACACCCAGTCATGCAGAAGTCCAAAGGAGCCAGTGCACCCCCATCCCTGCAGCTCAGGGCCCTTCATCTCATCACTGCCAAAGCCAACAACCCACACAGTGAGGACCAGTGTCAGCTAGGGTGCTCTCCCAGGGACGGGAGGGTGCACAATTCCCGCAGAACAGCCAGCGACCAGTCCATCTCCCGGCTGACCCAGGGTGTTAAGGAAAATAAAACTGAAGCAGAAGTTCCAGTCTTAGATATAGACTCCTGATGTCAGTTGCTATGACTCCTTACTACGACTCCAAGTCATACTTACTTGGAAGTGTTTTCAAGTATTCCTTTGACCTCATTCATTTCTTCCTTCCCAAAGTAAACAACGGTGAGATGAATTCTCCCATCCTGTTGGATGCACATCTCCCTAGAAAACAAAACACACATATGTCTGGTCTGTTTTCACAGTAACAGGCAAGGTCCAAACAAACACCTGTTTTGTCAAGTACAAAATGTTCATTCATTCGTTCGTTCTTTCTTTCGAATGCACGAGCTGGAGGAAGGAGCAAAAGAAGAGTGGGAGGCAGACTCCCCGCCGAGCAGGGAGCCCAATGTTGGGCTCTATCCCAGGACCTGGAGATCATGACCTGAGCTGAAAGCAAATGCTTAACCAACTGAGCCACCCAAGTGCCCCAGTGCAAAATGTTCTTGAAGTAAACTGAGTTGAACTGCCAAAAAAGCAGAGATGGGACACCAGGACATTTCTGGTTGGTCATCACAATTACCACATTTGTCTTTATCCTCCCAAGAAAACAATGAAATGTAAATATGCAGATCTGGTGAATGAAAACTCAGATGCACAAGGCCACGGTCCAAACCACCACAGGCTTAGCCCATGGGGCCACCTCGTGTCATGGGGCCGGCACTGGGTCCTTCCCCTCTTTGCCAGAAGGAGTCTATGAAGGACAGAAGACATAAATTACATTTGACAGATAAGAAAGCTAAAGTCCAGGGAGGGTGAGACTAGAATCCTTGTGTGTGACTTTTCCTGTGTGCCAAACACAGTCTCAAAGGCTGAATGAACAAAGGCAAAAAGACATTCTTTCATGTAGGGCTCCCCAAACCCTTCTTAACAACAAAGGGAATGACAAGGCAGAAGCCCAGTTAGGCTTTCTCACCCTTCCCATGCAGACAAAATCACCTTCACAGCTTCCCCTTTTTTCCTCTCTGTGACTGATTGTCCCACACGCTCTAGGGCCCTGACAGCCCTCTAAGGGACAGGCCTCCAGTTCTGGACTGGGCCAGACCCGCTTTCTCCAACAAAGCAGATTTATTTGTCCATGTCCCATGCTCTAATGGTAACACCTAAGCTAATCTGGTAAGATATTCTACTGAGGGTTTACCGCATATACACGTGTAATATGTACGTAAATTCTGTATAGATATGTGTGTATGTATGTAAATATATGTGTGTGTACATATGTGTTTGTGTGTGCATATGTGTATATACGTGTGTGTGTGTGCACAGTTTAAACAGAAGTTTTCTGGAAGCAAGTTAATGAAAGATTCTACTGGTGGGGTGACATTTTGTGATATTTTGACATTTTGCATGTCCTTCCTTTTTTTATTCCTTTTGTTTCTCCATTCATTACTTTCCTTAACCTCCGAAAAAACACACCACCGCTTTCCACAAGTCCTTGAGCTCTAACCGCAGAGGCCCATTTATTCAATGCTTTTTATAATGCCATCCAAAAGGAGCGACGACCTAGCTGGGGTTGCTGGGAGAAATCCAAAGATGTAGGAGATATGTTTCCTGTGCTCAAAAAACTTGGGAAATAAAATGAGCTCAAATAAAATCATGACACCTTGTGGCACAGATAAGTACACAGAATTCAGAAAGCACAGCAAATCCTATCAGCTGGAATGGCCAGGGCCTGAAGGATGGAAAGGTGAGAAGAAGAGAGGAGGAAGAAGAGAATTCCAGATTTAATAACTATCAGGGAAGATGATATTGACCCGAGGCTAGAGGCATGCAGAAGTCATCCTGTCTTGGTTCTGAGAATCTGTTTCTCTCCCATGAAAGAAAGATAAGGGCTGCCTCTGAAATCCAGTCTGATGGCGGACTCTGAAACTCAATCTGATGGTGTAGCACTTAGACACAGACAAGAGACCAGGAACAGAAGCCCAGAGTGGGACAATGTGCTTCAAACCGAGAGCCCCCTCACAGACCCAGTCCCTGCAGACGGAACCATCACCCACTGACAACAAAATTCTCTGCCCATAAAAGAGCTCTTTTGCAAACCTGCCAGACAATGCTTTAACTTCCTTTGCCAGGGTAGGATAAAAGCACACACACAGCACCGAGCACCCAAAAATGGTGCTTTAAAATTGCACGTGTAGTTGGGGGAAAATGTATCCCAGAATCAGGAGAGGGTCACTGCTGAGCCTGGATAAAAAGCATTCTTATGTTTCTCGTAACATCTTTGCTGGCATTTTAAAATCCATCCAAAGCACTTTCTGTTTTCAAGGACTAAAACAGAGATCGCTTGGACCTTCACCCATCATTCCCCAGCCGAGGTTTCCCAAAAAGGCAAAGCAGACTCGGTTCTGAGGTTCTGCTCCACGGTTCCACTCCTCATGCTCATTTCTTCCTTCTTTCCTTCAACAAACAATAACCACGCAAGCAACATACTATGTGCCAGATGCTCTCTCCAAGACCTCAACGGTTCTGCCCTTGAGAACTTCTCGGTCCACTCTACGTAACTAAAACTCCCTGAGACGCAATAAACAAATGCCCCACGAGGGAGGGAGAACAAGAACTATGGAAACACCACCACCAATCTGTCGGATGGATCTTGTGATTTTTAGTTTTCCGAACAAGTCTTACTAGACTCCATGCCCTGGAACAATGTGTATGGGAGAAGAGTGTGCATGTGGGTGACTATGCACACGGCGATGTCTGTGTTTGGGTGTGATTATTTGCGCCTGGACCCTTCGAGCTAACTTAGGTGCCCCTGAGAGCACCTCTCACAGCAGGGCTGTGGCAAGGCACATGGAATGAATCTCAGGGCACCCCGACTTCCTAAGAACCCTTCAGGAAAGCTCTGCATTTCACATGGGTTCTTTGTATTACATTAGCTCCACAATCCTAGGTGGTCATTCTTCTGTCCCAATCTAGAACCTCAGGATTGTTTCTTCTTCACCAAGACCTCGTCTTTTTTTCCTTCTTTTTTCAATTGAAGTATAGTTAGCATACAGTGTTGTATTAATTTCAAGTGTACAATAACATAGTGATTCAACAATTCTGTACAATACTCAGTGCTCATCATGGTAAGTGTACTTTTTAAAAAAAAAATTAGAGAGAGAGAGAGAGACAGGAGAGGGAAAGAGAAAGAAAGTGCAAGCCCAAGTGGGGTAAGGGGCAGAGAGAGAAGCAGGCTCTCTGCTGAGCAGGAAGCCTGATGTGGACTCAGTCTCTGGATTCTGGGATCATGACCTGAGCCGAAGGCAGACACTTAACCGAATGAGCTACCCAGGCGCCCCGATAAGTGTACTCTTGATCTCTTCCACCTATTTCCCGCATCTCCCCCAACCTCCCCTCTGGTGACCACCAGTTTATTCTCTGTATTTAAGAGTCCACTGGGGTTCTTTTGCTTGTCTCATTTTTCTTTGTTCATTTGTTTTTGTTTCTTCCACATATGAGTGAAATCATAGGGTATTTGTCTTTCTCTGACTTATTTCACTTAGCATTATACCCTTGAGGTCCATCCGTGTTGTTGCAAATGGCAAGATCTCACTCTTTTTTTAATGGCTGAGTGATATTCCATTGTATAAATATACCTCATCTTCTTTATCCATTCACCTCTGGATGAACATTTGGTTGCTTCCATCATTTGGCTATCATAAATCATGCTGCAATAAACATAAGGGTGCATATATCTTTTTGAATTATTGTTTTCATTTTCTTTGGGTTAATACCCAGAAGCGGAATTACCGTGTCATATGGTTAATTCTACTTTTAACTTTCAGAGGAGCCTCCATACTGTTCCCACAGTGGCTGCACCAGCTTGCATTCCCACCAACAGTGCACGAGGATTCCTTTTTTTCACACCCTCACTGATACTTACTGTTTCTTGTGTTTTTTATTCTAGTCATTCTGACAGTTGTAAGGTGATTACATCATTGAGCTTTTGATTTGCATTTCCCTAATGAGGAGTGATGCTGAACATCTTTTCAGGTGTCTGCTGTCCATCTGGATGTCTTCTTTGGAAAAAATGTCTATTCAGGTCCTCTACCCATTTTTTTGGGTCAGGTTATTTGTTGTTTTTGTTGTTGTTTGGTGTTGAGTTGCAAAAGTTCCTTATATATTTTGGATATTAACCCCTTATCAATTATATCTTTGACAAATATCTTCTAATAAATGAATTCAGTAAAACCACAGGATACAAAGTTAATATACAGAAATCTGTAATAATATTATATATTATCATATATTATCATATATTATATATTAATATTATGAAGCAGCAGAAAGAGATATTAACAATCCCATTTACAATTGTACCAAAAATAATTAAATACCTAGGAATAAACTTAACCAAGATGGTGAAAGAACTGTATTCCCAAAACTATAAAACACTGATGAAATAAATTGAACATGATACAAACAAATGGAGATATTCTATGCTCATTGATTGGAAGAACCACTACTCTTTTTTTTTTTTTTAAGATTTTTTTAATTTATTTATTTGACAGAGAGAGATCACAGTAGACAGAGGCAGGCAGAGAGAGAGAGGGAAGCAGGCTCCCTGCTGAGCAGAGAGCCCGATGTGGGACTCGATCCCAGGACCCTGAGATCATGACCTGAGCCGAAGGCAGTGGCCCAACCCACTGAGCCACCCAGGCGCCCAGAACCACTACTCTTAAAATGTCCATACTACCCAAAGCAATCTATATATTTAATGCAATCCCTATCAAAACACCAGCAGCATTTTCCACAGCACTAGAACAAATGATATTAAAATATGGATAGAACCACACAAACAGCCAAAGCAATCTCGAGAAAGAACAACAAAGCTGGAAGTATAACAGTCCCAGATTATAAGATACACTTCAAAGCTGTAGTAATCAGAACTGTGTGGTCCTGGCACAAAAACAGACACACAGTTCACTGAAACAGAATAGAGCCCAGAATGAACCTACAGCTACAGGGTCAGTTAATCTTCAGCCAAGTAGGAAAGGATGTCCAATGGAAAAAAGACAGTCTCTTCAACAAATGGTGTTGGGAAAACTGGACAGCAACATGCAGATGAATGAAACTGGACCACTGTTTTATACCATACATAAAAATAAACTCAAGGGACACCTGGGTGGCTCAGTTGGTTAAGCCACCGCCTTGGGCTCAGGTCATGATTCCAGGGTCCTGGG